TTATATATAAATATATATATATATATATATATATATATATATATATATATATATAAGAAGGTATAGTATATAATATATAATATATATATATATATATATATATATGAAGGTATATATAATATATAATATATAATATATAATATAATATATAATATGTATAGGTAAGTGTGTTGAAAGTTGTCATTATATTGTTTTTGTTCAGCATATATAGTTATAATTTATATATATATATATTTAAATAAAAATGTTTTACTCTCAGACACAGCCATTTTTAATTTTTTCAGAATTTTGTGTCTAATTTTATGAAAATCGGAAAACTTTATAATATAGCTACCCTAGAAACAATCGGTATATGTAGCGAAAAATGTAAAACTGTAAAAATAATATGTATAGGTAAGTGAATTGAAAGTTTTTATTACTTAGTCTTCTTTCTTTATTGAACTTTGAAGAACTTTCCACCTAATGTTGGCCCGCCAAACCCTTAACAAAAACAGTGGAAACTAAACTGTTCCCTCCATCTGAAATATGATTATTACTAATTATTACGGATACATACCTCTTGTTAATGTAATCATTTTTAATACCTTTGTATAAACATGTATTAAATATTTAAAACTTAAAAAAACCGACCGAGTGGTTAATTTTGTTCAATAACTAATTTATATTTTTTTCTATAAAATATATCAGCACCATCAAATTACAAGATCAACTGGCAGCAATCAATTGAATTACACTTCCTCAACTCGACTTCGGTTATTTTATTTATTTTAAAATGTTTGGTTTTTTTATGTCGCGCACCAGATTATGAGTATGAATATACTATATTAAATCAGAGCTTTTTCGGACGTCAAAAAGTCTTATCAAAAGCTTTCTGAGAGACAAGCAGAACCGCTAATGATGAGACAAGCCTAAAGACCACAGCCAAGAAAAAGACAGCGATTAGTATTGCGTTGAATAAGTGCATATTGAAGAGTAACAGCTTAAACAGCTGTATATTTTAAAGCTCAATAAGATTTTATTTTATTTAAACGCCCCATTAGTTTTATTGCACTTCTCACACACAAACACGAAAATGCCTCAATTCGAAAATGTTAATCACTAGCCACTGTTAGACTTTACAATAAAAAGACTGAAAAACTATTTTATCAAAAAAATTAGTCCGCTAAAGTCTTGGAGCGACTGCGACGTCAGCACAGAAATAAAAGGAATTAGCGATTAAAGAACAGGAAAAGGGCTGCGGGTCTACGCTCTTCCATTCCACTAAACTTCCAATCCATCTTGTGACTGTTGTTCTTATCTCTTTCTTTTTCCTTTTTATAAGCTAAATACATGTTACCATAACCATTGTCTCTAAACAGAAAGCAATTTATAATTACAAAATTATAATTGATGATGGTTTATTTATTTAAATTAAAGAATGTAAATTAAGAAAAACAAGAAAGGAAGCTAACTTTGGCACGCCGAAGTTTGTATACCCTTGCAGATTGGTTTTGATGTTTATATTACAGATTTAAATACTGACAACACCACAAAACAGAGTTTGATAACATTTTACCAATTTTTATTATGTTTACAGTTTGACAGTTACAGTTTTACATTCCCAGCTGTATATTTTTTTTTTGCATCTATCGATCGTTTCTATGGCAGCTACACTCAACCGCATATCTCTGCGTACACCCCATAAAAATTTCAAATTCAAACTTCAAACACACACCGTTCGGCCATTTTTCAACATTTTAACCAACTTTTTTTTCGTAACATAACTTTATTTAATTGGCTTCAATTATGTATTTTTTTTTAGAATTTTTTAACCATGTCTTATTATTTTTTTTTAATTTTAAACTTAACGCTATGAAAAGGTGTACACGCAAAAGTCTGCGTACAGCTAACTAAAAACTACTTAAAGCCTATTATTTACAACTTTTTATATTTAGTAAGGTATCCATTTGCCTTTAGCACCTCCGTAAGGCGCCTCGGCATGGAATCCATAAGTTTTTTTGACTCCTCGGCTGTAATTTCGCCCCATTCCTCCACGATGACATCCTTGAGCACTTTTTAGATGTTATGGTGTGTTTCCGGATCCTTTTCTATATTAGATCCCATAAATGTTCAATTGGGTTGAGGTCAGGACTCCTGTGGAGGTGTTCGCAGCTAATTTTTAGCATTATATAGAAGCCAAAGCTTCGTATTATGCGCCGTGTGCTTGGGATCGTTCTCTTGCTGGAACCAATATTCATGTTTTAGCCCCAAACTTTCAGCACTTTTTGGGACATTTTTTTTTCAAAATGTTGATATAGGCTCCTTGATCCATAATTGTCTCGATAAAAGTCAAATTTCCCACGCCGCTCGCTGTCATACACCCCTACACCATAATGCCGCTCACTCCATGCTTTACCGTGCCCACAAAATTTTTCGTTTTAAAGGCTTCTCCGGTTTTTCGCCACACTAAAACTTTGCTCTTTATTCCGAAAATGCAAAACTTGCTTTCATCGGAAAATAAGACCAAAAGTCGGAATGTTTTAGTGTGGCGAAAAACCGGAGAAGCCTTTAAAACGAAACATTTCAACATTTTGAAAAAAAAATGTCCCAAAAAGTGTTGAAAGTTTGGGGCTAAAACATGAATATTGGTTCCAGCAAGAGAACGATCCCAAGCACACGGCGCATAATACGAAGCTTTGGCTTCTATATAATGCTAAAAATTAGCTGCGAACACCTCCACAGGAGTCCTGACCTCAACCCAATTGAACATTTATGGGATCTAATATAGAAAAGGATCCGGAAACACACCATAACATCTAAAAAGTGCTCAAGGATGTCATCGTGGAGGAATGGGGCGAAATTACAGCCGAGGAGTCAAAAAAACTTATGGATTCCATGCCGAGGCGCATTACGGAGGTGCTAAAGGCAAATGGATACCTTACTAAATATAAAAAGTTGTAAATAATAGGCTTTAAGTAGTTTTTAGTTAGCTGTACGCAGACTTTTGCGTGTACACTTTTTCATAGCGTTAAGTTTAAAATTAAAAATAAATCATAAGACATGGTTAAAAAATTCTAAAAAAAAATACATAATTGAAGGCAATTAAATAAAGTTATGTTACGAAAAAAAAGTTGGTTAAAATGTTGAAAAATGGCCGAACGGTGTGTGTTTGAAGTTTGAATTTGAAATTTTTATGGGGTGTACGCAGAGATATGCGGTTGAGTGTATATGATATAGTTGTCCGATTTTTATAAAATTTATACCAAAATCTCATAGTAGATGAAAATACGTTTAAAAACAACGAAGTTCTAATTTTTTTGTTATTAATTTTCCGATCTTTCGTATGGCAGCTTTAAGATATAGTCGTCCGATTTTCATAAAATTAAAATCGAAAAAATGTGAACACATCTACTATGAGATAATTGTGAGCTTCTTATATTATTTCAGAATTTCTGTGTTAGTTTTATGAAAATCGGACGAACATATACATAGCTACCATAGAAAAGATTTGTAGATGTACAGAAAAATGTAAAGCTGCGAGTGTAACAGTAACAGTAACCATCAAACTGTAAATGTAATAGGTATAGATAAATGTAATGAAATTTAATATTACTTTGGTTTTTTTCAACATTTATATTTATATTGTTTATTATTTTAGATAAAAAAGTTATGTTATACGATTAAACATTTTTTGTAATTTTATTAAAACCAAAGTATTATATGCTATGTACATATGTATAAATATACAACTTTTATATATTTCCTGTTATTTTTGCTATTAATCTGACCAGGGATTGATTCATACTGATGCAATGACAAACTGCAAAGGTATACAAACTTCGGCGTGCCGAAGTTAGCTTCCTTTCTTATTTTCTATTAATTTGGCTAGAGTGAGTGGATCTATTTTTAATGATCCAACTGCAAACTGCAAGGGTATACAAACATTGGCGTGCCTAAATTATCTTCTTGTTACCTTTGAAATTAATTGGTTTTCAATTAGTTAACTGAGCTTTGATAATTTAAAGTCACATTTTTAAAGCAATATTTATGGACAGTCAAAAAAAAAAAATGTTAAAACAACGGTGTTAGCTATTAGAAAACACAGTCTGGAATGCATTCGACCAAGAGTATGCCAAATCGCATAGGAGAACTTAAATAGTCTAAGGGGCTGTGGACGCATTATTAAAAAAATATTTGTTTAAATTGTAACATTTGACTTTTTATACCCTTCCAGGGTATTATAATTTCAGTCAGAAGTTTGCAACGCAGTGAAGGACCCTTCCCGACCCTATAAAGTACATATATATAATCAAGGCAAGGGTATAACAATCAAAACCAAATTATTAAATGCTATGTATAAATATACAACTTTTATATATTTTCTTTTATTTTTTTAAATTATTTAACCAGAATAGCTCGATTCGGAGCTCATAAAAATGTAGTATTTTAGTTGATTTTTTTTAATAAATCATACAAAATTTTTTCGTAAAACTGTCTAAAATTTTATTTAAACCAAACGAAATTCCAAAAAAAAAAAACAGTCAACAGTCTTTGTTAAGTTAAAAGATCATAAAAAAACTAATTGCAATGAAGATAAATAAATGGTCCCATGAACCGTTATCTTTCGCATTCCTTTTTGGATTGCTTCTGCATCAATCGATCAACAACAACAACAAGAACGACAAGAACAACTAAAAGAAGTTAAAGAAGTTAAGATGTGCAAAAATTGGTTCGTTGTGTAAATACTTTTGACTCCCTGCATACATAAATACATTTACATAATAATACTGATAGGTTTACTCCCCAAACGATCTGAAAAATTGTCTTCCTTTTTCTCAGTTGGTAACCTTGTTTCGCAGACTGGGAATCTTGTACTTTTTGTACAAAGCATAACTCATTACACCCAATCCGGCATCTCAATGTTATTTTCGAACAGTAAACTTCCAGCCTTAACTTACATATGTATGTATGTATATACATATGCATGTATATTTCCAAGTTCTCATTATTTTGACAGAGAGAGCAACGTCTTTCCTTCCCTTCAGTTGACTGAAGTGATCACAGAGCTAAACTGATTGTCTTTTAGAGACTAAATGTAGATTATTTGGTGTCGTTTAAAGGTCAAGACGGATAATTGTACATTTCTCTTAGCCAACTTCCTTTTGATTAAGTTATTAAAAAGAAACATACGCGTTCCTAAGAATTTGTTTTATTTCTATTTGTTTGTTCCTTTATTTTTTTAATCTTAAATAAATTGAATTTTGTATATGATTTGGTTGTTTATAACACCAAACCGCAAGTTGACCCACCCAGAGGTTGCTATTGCCATACATACATTACTGAAATACTGTGCCGGTAAGAAATATCCTAAATATACATATGTACATACTACATACATAAATATTTATGTATGCATTTTATATTTGTACTAATTTTGTGTGTATGTACATATCTACATAATACAAACATAGATTTATGTATATACAGCACGTAAATACATATTATATAAATAAAATTCAATACGTTAAATCTTATTATAGGTAAGGAAAAAATTGTAACAATATTTGCCCGCTCTTATTAAACAGTAGACGGCTTACAGAAGATAATACAATATGGGAGAACGTTTGCATGGGTATGTACATATCTATTTACATAAGTAATATGGGTATACAGTATACATACATACATATGTATATATATATTATTTAGGATTTTATGTTCATTTAATGATAATTTGGTTGGTTATAAGCTTACACACATACATATTTATTTTCCAATTTTAATTCTTATTGTATTTATGTATGTACATATGTACATATATGTACGAACATACACATATGCTTACATACAGACATGCGTATGTATGTATGAATGTATGCATACATACGTACATATATCTCCTCTATAAAATATAAACATATATGTATGTATGTACATACATACATATGTACATTTATAGACATTTCCAGGATATTTTTTTTATAAATGTTTTTTTTTTTGCATGTTTTTATACGCTTGCAGGTTTTTATAATTTCAGTCAGAAGTTTACAACGCAATGAAGGAGACATTTCCGACCCTATAAAGTATATATATTCTTGATAAGCATCAACTGCCGAGTCGATCTAGCCATGTCCGTCTGTCCGTTTCTACGCAAACTAGTCCCTCAGTTTTAAAGCTATCTAAATGAAACTTTTTATATTGTCTTCTATATACTCTCACTGCTATATATTTCGGAACGGGTCGGAACGGACGACTACATCATATAGCTGCCATACAAATGTTCGATCAATTTTTAGAAAAAAAATTATAACTTGACTTTTTTTCAAAATTTTTGCATAATTTCTGGGATATGGCAATTTTTTTTAATATTATTTTAGAATTTCGGTTTTTATTTTATGAAAATCGGACGACTATATCTTATAGCTGCAATAGGAACGATCAGGTAATTAATAGGAAAACAAATTTTAACTTCGGTGCTTTTCAACCTATTTTCATCTACTTTGAGACATGAGTTTTTAGTATTATTCCAGAATTTTGGTAACAATATTATGAAAATCGGACAACTATATCATAAAATGTAAAATGTATAAAATGTAAAGCTGGGAATGTAAAACTGTAACGGCCAAACTGTAAACATAATAAGTATAGGTAAAATGTTATGAAACTCTGTTTAGTGTCTGTTTTCGGCATTATAATTTATAATATAAGTATCAAAACCAATCTGCAAGGGTATACAAACTTCGGCGTGCCGAAGTTAGCTTCCTTTTTTGTTTTAGGTTAAAATAGAAGATAATCATATAATAAATACAATAAGTTTTGGTTTTTGAATACCCGACACGAATTACGAGCTCAATCGTGTCTACAAGGGAGACACTTAAAGATCGCGAACCACGGCATAGGTCCGCCATTTTGTCAAATATTGTTTATGGACAATTTTTTTCAATCATCTCCGATTCCACTTTTACCTACATATTCCCAATATTCCCAATATTCCATATTTCCTAAAAAAATGTCCAAATGTTTACCCCTTAAATCATTGGTTCTCATATACTTAATTTCCTCTACTCATTATAATTCCAATGGTTACTATTTGCATTTACTCCTGTAAAGTACTTATTACTAGAAATAAACCTATATTAAGGGAGTTTCTAGTAGATGTCTGGTCTGTAATCACTTGATTTTATATCTTTTCGTGACTTCACGTGCAGATGCAGTTTGTGTAATTTTTTGTATATTCTGGTAGGTTTGTACCCTTACGTTTTCGCAGACGCAGCCGATGAAAGTTTATTTTGGTCCAGGAAAGATCCACGCAACTAGGCATAGTGTACTCGTTGGCTTTCACCGGCTAAAGCTTTTGCGGACGTCTTTAGTCAGAAAAAAGTAAAAAAAAAAAAAAAAAAAAAAAAAAAAAAACTGACACCTGCCAAGTTGCGATTTACCTACCACCTGTTATTTTAGTTTTGTTTAGTTAATTTAAGGTAATGAATGTATCTATCATTTAAAGCAAAACCCGTGACCATTGGTTATATGGTTTTTGTGTAATGTTACCTAAAAATGTACCAATTTACCCTTTTACCAAAGTTCAACTTTAAATGCTGTTATCTTCTACAAATATAATCCTAATATTAATTGGTTGCTTATTCGGAATCCTTGGGGAATTCTGTTCTCTCGGATTTAAAATGATTTTGCGATCATGACTTTGTTGATTTTTGCAAGGGTGTTTGTTCGAAGTCGTAGTCTGGTACTGAAGGCAAGCCCACTAGTACGTTCCATCTTTTACGAAACACTAATATTTTGTGGCAGTGCGATGGCTGTGTTGTTGCCAATGAATTCCATTCTGAAATTAAGGAAATTTATTCTAAAATAAAAACTCAAGAGTGTTTGTATTAGAATTTAAATGCTAAATTCTTCGAAGCCTTTTCAACCAAAGGGGAATGGTAGCTTTTCAATAATTTTCTGCTGCTGCGTCTTTATCTTTGGTCCAGGGTCGAGATCTACGACCCCGAAATCCGAGAGAGACGCTTTTAACAAAGTCCAGTATAGGAAGAAGAAGTGGAACTATAACATTAACAAAAAAAAAAACCGTCGTTGGCGTCGCGCCTGAATCGGATTTTCTCCAAGTTTTGCCGAGCATTAAATGTCTACATGTCGGCAAGCATAATACGTATATGGAGCCGGAAGCAGTTTCTAATGTTTTATTATTATTTTGCATCAAACTGGTAAACAAAACACTTATTTAATGCTTTTAAGGAATTTTAAGCTCGATGACCCGGATCAACATTATTTTTTAGATAATAAAGACCATTATCGAACTGGACTTCAATATCAACTCATTCGTCATCTTTCATCCTTTTCTTTGAATTCTGTGTGCTGGCTGGAAATATGCTTTTAATTCTTGTACGACTCTGACACGCTCCATTGACGCTCTCTCTAGATTCGCCCTCCCATCCCATCGTCATCAACAACAACTCCGATCTCAGTGTTTCTGGATTGCATTTCTCTGCATGCACCGCTCTCTTCAGGGATTACATACGATCTTTAAAGTAAATGCATATATATATATATTATATATATATATATTTTTTTTTTCATTTGAAACTAGTAAGCCCGGCGAACTTCGTTACGCCACCTTTGGCAGCCGACGTTCGAACGTCGTGCTCTAGGCATTATGGACAATAGGCAGATCGGTTAATTTAACCTCTAATCCACATAATTTACAGTTCAACTTACCACCATAAAGACAAATGCTGGTTTCCAATTGAAATGTTAGGAACGAATAACTTATTTTTTTGACATTTTTTTTCACAATTTCACATAATTGAACACTATTTCGGTTTGTCTCATGAAATAAACTGTATCATTGATGGCTCTTTATGCAAGAATGTCTCCCGCTTTTCTGTTGCAATTTGTCCTTTCTCCTCACGGAGCCCGTGACCTTTCCAACGAATGCAAAACCGTAGAAATCGGCAAATTTTCCGTTTTATTGAAGTGAAGTCAGACGTCTAATATTCTGATCATCACCATCTGAATGAATAGCATCACGCAAGTGTATATAGTCCTCAGATCGTAGCTTTGCCAGACTCGACTTTGACATACATGTCGACAGCGCATTGCTGGAGCAGCCGACGGCACTTCAGAATGACATTCTCCTCATGTGTACGAATCATCATACGATACGCATAGTAATTCATTGCGCTTATTTTTTTATTCGTTGATACGCCTGAAAATATCAATAATTTAAATAATTAGAATGTGAATATTGTACCTGTAATTGGATCGACCATCTTCAAGGTGATGTCGTATCCTTCTTGCCCTTGCCAATAAATGATTGGATATTGTAACGCATCGTACAAACGGTGTGTCTCGTTTACACGATGCATGATATTGGTTCTTCGCTGAACCACAATATCTCGCGATTTAGTTGGATCGCCAACAATAATTGCAGAAACATCATTAACAGTGGGTGCATTGAATCTTCGCACATGTTCACCTGCTGGGGTACAATCCGCTCTTATGATTAATTTGTGCGTATCCGATGGCATTGTTCCAATGCTGAATTGAACATATTAACCACACCATTATTAGCGTAAAAAAATGCTTGCAACTGTTCAATAATTCTTCTCTTTAACTGTCGTGTTCCCTAAATGTTGCATCGCACATTCAGCTGATCCACCATCGACGAAATGAAATATATTTGCAGAAATGATGCAGTTCATCTGGTGTTGGCACCAATGAACCATGCAAATGATATATTTGCCCTTGTATCTGTAATTGCAAACAATCATTTGTTGAAGAATCGTGTGATGGTGTAGTCCGTAGAGTATATGTTGTTATTATGTGTTGCAATTCTTTTTGTTTGTCTAAGTGATTGTAACTTTTACTTTGCAAGTCGGCATGAAGCCGCCTTCTCGAATGATATTAGCTCCAAAGGAAGTCATGCGAAAGCAGTTATTGTATTCAAGGATGTGTTGAAGAAAATGGCTAGAATCTGGATCACTTCCATCGAACAATGCTTTCAGTGACTGTGGTGGTGCAAGTAATGGATCCAGTTTGACTTTTCCACTTGCGCAGCTCAATCCAGCAGTTTCTCTTTTAAACTTAACGCATTGCAATATCGACATATAGTCGTCATCTCTGTAGTTCGCAGTGGGATCATATTGAAATGCCAAGCGATTGTATGATGCCAATGATCTTCGTGTGCTCACGCGTTGTCTTAATCGGACATTTTCTCTTACTGCATTTCGTCTTTCCTCGCTTAAGTTCTGTAAATACACTTGTTGCTGGATTGCATGCCTTCTGCGGAGACCGATTTTATTATTTTATTAATAACTCTGGTAAATTAAATTATATTTTAATAAAATTTTAAACTTAATTTTCTTAATGTATTCTTGACATATTCTAAAAATATTAATACCTTACCTCAAGTAAAACTCATACTTTTCATATTAAGAATATAGTAATTTTTGCTACTTTATATACTTTCCAAAAATATATTTTTAAACATTTGAAATTCAATAAACAAAAATTAAAGAAATATACATATTTTTTTTTTTTTTTTTTTCGCGCGGGGTCCCGCTTCCACCTCCCGCCCAGCCGACCGAGGGGCGCAGCCGTGTGACGTACGGCACGAAT